GGGCAGTCTGCATCTCTGCTGTGGTTTCTGCTCTCCCACAGGATCTTTCCTTTCCCTCCTGTTCCCCATCAGCCTTTTGGTCACAAGACTGCTGGGAAGTGGTGCTCTCTTTGCGAGGAGCTGTGGCCAGTCTGCAGCACAGCCCTGCTTGTGTACAGTTCTCTCCCTCCGCTGTCCTGACTGCCCTCTATCCATGGTTTCAGGCCTGGCAGACAGGCACTCTCTCTGCACTTGTGTTGCACAGACATGGAACTGCTCAGTCTGTATTGCAAAGCCCAGGCCTCTTCCCGTGGCTAAAAACTGCCTGTTCCCAGGCAAGCAGCCATCTCTGACTGTAGGCTACACGATGAAGGGCAGTGAAAGTGGCTGCACACAGCCTTAGGCAGAGCCTCAGAGCCAGGCCCATGCATCTTGGGAAGGGTTCTCATGGGCTGGGGCACAGTGATCCTTTGGGAGAGAGGCTGGCAGATTTCTAGGGTCCCTCATTTCCCCCAGGCTGGCCACAAGGGATTGCTGCAGGGTGAAACAGGCTCTCTTGCCTTGTCTGTCTGGTTCCCCTTCTCCCCTGTCTGGTTCCCCGTATAGGTCCTTTCCCTATACGCTAACCCAGCTCCGCACTCACCCGGTCTGAACACCTTCCCTGGATTAGAGGGACCTCCCTTTGATTTTAGTCTTTAGTAATCTTTTCCCCTCCAGTGTCGGGATGGGAGGCATGGGGATGCCCTGATGGTTGCTCAGCAGCCAGCGCCTTCCTCCGCCTCCCTTCACAGGTTTGCACTTGCTTGTCTCAGCAGCAGTACAGTCCTAGAGCTGCTCCTGGAGGGAGGGCAGGTGGGGGGGGGGCACTGGGGAGCTGCCACCCCCTACGCAAGCAGTCAGGGCTTTAGACCACAGCCCAGCTCCAGAAAACAAAGCCAGATCTCTCCCACTTTCCCACATACACCCCACAGAGGGGTGGCCTCAACACTGGGTGGGTAGGATGCAACCTTAAATGAGAGGACATGTTATCTAAGCCTTGGGAAGTGACTGCAGCAAGGTGTGTCCTGCCAAGGAGGCTGAAATCCCCAGCCTGACATGTCTCCAGAGCATTGTTTGGCAACTGGTTTCTGCCTGTCGCATTTCCCTTTGCCGGCTGTGCCTGCAGTGGCATTTTCCAGCCCTTTCCTGCCATCGTGCTAATGCCGGTACATTGACGACAGGGAGAGACTTGCTGCCCTACCAACTGTTTGTCCAGGGGCACAGCGAGCACATGGGGCAGGCGGGCAGATCTAACCTCCTGCCTCCACCCAGAGCCATTCACAGGGCCAGTCTGTGTCCCCCTTCACAGGGCAGGGTAAGGGCAGAGCGCAGGCAGGTGGGAGCAGGGAGGGTCCTGCCCAACACAAAATGGGGTTTGGACAGCTAAAAGTTGGGATTCGTGCCAGCGGCCTCCAGTTCACTAAAAAAGAGAGGCAAAACTTACCTTCCTTCTGCCCCTGGACATGGGCTCCCGCCAGGTAAGAAGGAAACAGGCAATTCCTTCCCTCTCTGCCCCGGCTCAAAGGAAGATGATGGTCCCAAACTTGAGCCAGTGACCCCAGCAGTGAAGCCAGTAATGCCTTTCTGGGAGACCTGTTGTGCCCTCCAGCTGCCCAGGGGGATGTTCCTGGCATAGATGAGACAAAGCCAGGAGTGAGCCCATCTGGGTCAGCTCCAGCCCACTTGCCTACCTGAGCAATTCCTTGAGGGCTTCACAATGCTCCCAGCTCCACGGTGAAAGCTCTCCCCAAGGTCCATCTCCACTCCTACTCCTCATTTGCCTTGGTGTAGCTAGCCAGCATCTCCTGCATCTAGGAATCCAGACACATTCATTACCCAGTGTCCCCAGGGTGGCAGCTCCTGCTTCAGGTGGTGGCAAGTGCTCTTGGGATTCATGCCAGTGAGTGCGTAGGGAGGGACAGATAGCCCCTTCAGACTAGACTTCAGTGAAAAGCATCAGCAAGCCCAGCTGCCATTAAGCGCTCAGCAGAGGGTCTCATCAGAGCTGAGAGCAAGATGCTGGCCAGGACATGAACCTTGTCAGCTCCTCCTGCCATTTGTTGCTTGCAGCTGTTAGCTGCCAGCCCAGGCAAGGTGCCAGGCAGCTCTCAGAGAGCTCCTCTTAGAAACACAGGTATCTCCAACTTGGCAGGGCTCCAGCATTCATCAGGAACAGTGTGGTAGACTCCCCTTGCACAGGCCACCCCACACACCCTCCTTTCATTATAGCTTTAGATGGACTCCCAGTGCCACAGCTGGTGGGTTGGGTAAGCTTTGTTATATGGCATATAAAACGGCTTTCTCTCTTTGGAGGGTAGATGGTGCAATTTCTGTGGTGCATGAAAGTGCATTGGGACATCCAGATTGGGTTGATGCAGGGCCTGGTTTCTGAGGCAAAGGCTAGCAGGAGGTGATAGGTGCCAAGTCACAGGGTGTCTGACTGGCTGGGAAGGACAAGCTAGGAGGCTGGAGTGGTGACAGAAATAAGAAGAGCCAGACACCTAAAATGCACCGTGCGTGACCTGCCTGGTTCTTGTGTCCATCCATGCGTTGCTCAGAGGCACAGGGCCATTACAGAGATGGGAGCCCGATAGTGGAATTAATGCCAAGGGCTTCACACTTCATTCCTGCCCGCATGAATGGCCTTATTGTAGGGGAACAGAGTGATAGCAGCACGCAGATTACACGGCATCGTGGCAGTGCTGGCATCGTGCCAGCCTGACCTTCGTGTCCCTGGCAAGGCAGGAAGGAAAGCTGTTCTGGAAGATGGGAGCCCTTTGCAGGAATAGGAAGGAGTCCTGGGTCCTCTCTCTGGAGCTCTGTTGGAAGGAAACCTATTTGTCTGGGTAGAGATGTGTCACTCTGCATCTTGACTCCTCCTTATGCTCAAACACCCTTAAACTTGGCTGCACAGAATTAGGTGACGAATTCTGCACTTGGACTCCTCGCTTGTGCAGTCTGGTTACTCAGGGGCCCACACACCCTCTCACCCCACATGCCTCATGGCAGACTAGGGATTTAGTTTGGGTCATGCCTCATGGCAGCCCTGTGCCCATAACCCTGCTGTCAAGTGGGAAGACAGTACAAGCCAGTACATTGAGGCTATTTAGCACTAACCAATGCTGCCAAGAGGAACCCTGCCTTTTTAATCAAGTGTGGGACAGCCTAGGTGGTCCTATCACCAAGTACAGTCACAGACTGAGTGAGGTGAGGGGATAGGGTCCTGTGCACCAACTCCCTCTTGAGAGTCAGTGAGCTAAGACAGTGATAGGGGCTCCAGGAGAAAGTCACCGCTGCTCTGTGCCCTGTGGCTAGGCTCTAAGCCAACCCCTAGATCCATGTGTCCCCCTCTCCAGGTTACGTTCTGTCCTAGCCATACTGAGGGACTGTTCACCATGCCAGGACAACAAGATGGCATGGGAGGGAGAAGGGGGACGGGGCGCAACTGTGTGCTGGGGGCTAACAGCTTCCTCCCATTAACATCTCCCCCACCCACGGCCAGGGTGGAATAGAGGTTAAAAGGATGCGGGGCAAAGGGGGAGAGTTTACTCCCTAGTGACTTGTTTCTTTTTTGGAGGGTCTGGTTCTCATCCACAATTTGCAAAAGCATTTCCTGCCGGCCAGCTGCCAAGGAAGA